TAGAAATATCTGATGCATTTGCATTTACAATGGGTGAAAATAAAATATGTCTGCCTCCTATTGGGATTGCAGCATCTTTAGATCTAACAACCTCAAGTTAAACCCAGTGTTCTTTGAAATGGTGGTGAACCAGTATTTACAAAGGAAACAGTTACTTGACTCTTAACTATATTGGCTCTAATGAGTTTGCCACAATAAAGGAAGAAATCAAATATTACGTAAAAGTCAGTGAACACTTGATCATACTCTATCAAGGCAAATCATTTCACTTGGAATAGATGAATGAAAAGAACTCTATTGGCAAACGTTAGTGCTCAAAAGCCAAATAAACTATCCTAACCGCAAAAACAAAACAACACCCTTCCCCTCCCCCCCAAAAAACCACACACACCACTAGAGTCAGATTAAATACTCTGCTGACTCTGATATTCTTTAGCAAAGAAAATGTTTCTAAAAAGAGCACATTAGTGGGGTGAAAAAGAGGATTGCACATTTCTAACTATGAGGTATACAAACTGTGTGGGTGGAGTGGGGTAAGGAAGCAGGATAAGCCTTAGAGACAGAAAATAAAGCACTATCAAAATTCATTGGGAGAATGAAAAACATTCACGTTTTTCTCAAGTACTCAACTAAACATTTGCTTTGCCTAGCCCCTGTACCACCAATTACTCCTGTAACAAGGGTGGTAATTTTTCAGGTGCTGTAATTCCATGGGATGCTGGGATTTCAGATCATGTAAATGATGCAGCACTACATGTGAATTACACATTATGTACCTGGGACACTATGCTACATTGAATGCTTAGTAGTACTGAGTGGAGACTCAAGTCTGAGAGCCTGATTCTGCTCTCTCTACAGTGAGCACTCTCTATCAGGAGTAATTTAATTTGTCAGTGAATTTATGCTAATTTAAAAGTGATGTAAAAGCACATTCTGTCTTCCCATATCTTTGATTCACCATTAGCTAATAAAAGCACTTGGGTTTCTAATTCAGTTTTTTCCTTTGTTTTCAAAACTACATCAAATTGTCCTGGCTGGACCTTCTGGACCATTTCCAGTGCAGTAGAGCAGACCTAAAATCAGCATAATTGGCCAGCTGTAGATTCTCCTTGAATAAGGCAATGCAAGGTTGGCTCAGAGCAGCCATACCAGCTCCTGCATGCCTCTTCCAAACTGCCACCCTAGAGGTTGTGGCTGGGATGTCCTTATACCAGGAATATTTACTTGCTGGAATTTCCCCTTTGGGCTATAGTTTACTGTGCATAATTTAGAGGATGCTTTAACTTGTACCAGAGTGTTGGCAGGCCGCTGGCCAACCCTATGATTGATGGAGGGTAATGATGGCTTAAAGTAATATTTGTTCCATCCCCAACCAGCGATGCACCAAGTAAGGCTTAGCCACCAGAGGCTCTGGCCCCATCTGTTCTGTCCAGCACTTCATAGCTATTGTGGAGTTCAGGGGTGCCAAATTGTGGCTCGCAAGCCACATGTGGCTCCTTTACTATTAAGGTGCGGCTTGCAAGCCCCCTCTCCCCCCACCATTTTCTGCCTACCAGACTGGGGGAGGGGAGCTCAGGACCTCTGCCTTGCAGTGGGGTGGTGGGGTAGTGGGGTAGGAGCTTCTGTCCAGCTGGGAGGAGGGTCTCGGGGCTTCAGCACTGTGGGGTGCACCTGCAAGGACTCGGGGCTTCAGCCCCAGCTCTCAAACTTCTAAAGATTCTCATATGTGGCTCGGTGGGCCAGGAAGTTTGGCCACCCCTGGTATAGTTAGTCTGAGGAACCCAACTTCGTGGAAGCCTTTGCACTAAAGCTATTGTTTCATGGTAAAAGCAGATTATTATTTCAATGCCTATCACTGCAAATTATTGGTTGTCTGCAACATCCTTCTTCTTAGGGTCTGGTTAAATTTAATTGTTCATTCAATGAGAGACGTAGCAAGAAAGCTTAGAAAGTCATTAATTTGTTGCTCCAAATTGACAGACTTTGTTATATTTTAGCCAGAAAAGACCAGCATGTTTTTTAAAGCATGACTGTGAGCAGAATATGTGAGATTGTATCTAATGTTCAGAACAAGTTTTTCTTTTCTTTTCTTTTCTTTTCTTTTCCTTTCTTTTCTTTTCTTTTCTTTTCTTTTCTTTTCTTTTCTTTTCTTTTCTTTTTTATTTCCTTCAAGTTAGTGGAAATGAAACACCTAAAATATGAGCGTTATCACTGTATTTATAAATATTTGTCATTGGCCAGTCTGGAAGAGCCAGGAACTGGATTATTTGCCAAGCCCATATGCAGCCCCTTGCATATGTTCCCAGATTTCCACATATTTGGAAATTGCTGCTGAATGAGGAAAATGAAGTTTTGCTGGTTTTCACGTATTGTAGCTTGAGAAACATTCCGAACTATTCAAATATGTTATCAATTTTGAATAAGAACAACATAAGAATGGCCATACTGAGTCAGACCAAAGGTCCATCTAGCCCAGTATCCTGTCTTCGAACAGTGGCCAATACCAGGTGCTTCAGAGGGAGTGCACAGAACAGGTAATCATCAAGTGATCCATTCCCTGTCACGCATTCCCAGATTCTAGCAGAGACTAGGGACACCATCCCTGCCCATCCTGGCTAATAGCCATTGATGGACGTATCCTCCAAGAATGTATCTAGTTCTTTTTTGAACCCTGTTATAGTTTTGGCATTCGCAACATCCTCTAGCAAAGAGTTCCACAGGTTGACTGTGTGTTGTGTGAAGAAACACTTCCTTTTGTTTGTTTTAATCCTGCTGCCTATTAATTTCATTTGACCGCTAGTTTTTGTGTTATGAGGAGTAAATAAATAACACTTCCCTATTTACTTTCTCCACACCAGTCATGATTTTATACACCTGTATTGTATCCCCTCTTAGTTATCTCTTTTCCAAACTGAAAAGTCCCAGTCTTATTAATCTCTCCTCATATGGAAGCTGTTCCATGCCACTAACAATTTTTGTTGCCCTTTTCTGAACCTTTTCCAGTTCCAATATATATTTCGTGAGATGGGACAACCACAGCTGCATGCAGTATTCAGGATGTGGGCTTACCATTGATTTATATAGGGGCATTATCATATTTTCTGTTTTATTATCTATTCCTTTCTTAATGATTCCCAACATTCTGTTCGCTTTTTTGACTGCCGGACAATGACTCCGAGATCTCTTTCTTGAGTGGTAACAGCTAATTTAGACCCCATCATTTTATATGTATAGTTGGGATTATGTTTTCCAATGTGCATTACTTTGCATTTGTCAACATTGAATTTCATCTGCCATTTTGTTGTCCAGTCACCCAGTTTTGTGAGACCCCTTTGTAACTCTTTGCAGTCTGCTTTGGACTTAACTATCTTGAGTAGTTTTGTATCATCTGCAAATTTTGCCACCTCAGTGTTTACCTCTTTGTCCAGATCATTTATAAATACATTGAATAGTACTGGTCCCAGTACAGACCCCTGGGGACAGCATAGGAGATGGTGCAGTATTTCCCTTTAGTTATGATGGGAAATTACTGTGCTTACTCAGATACCACTGTGAGGTAACTGTTGGTAAATGGTGAACTTGGTAATGATCATTAACATACCATACAAACGTAGAAGAAGATGGGAAGCTTAAAGCTTAAAGGAAGAATGTATGTAGTGGAGTATCTTGTTTTGGGAGTATTATTTTGGTTTGTTTGTTTGGGTTTGTTATATAGACATGCCACTGTATATTTGTTAGAGAAGGCAAGAGCAAATAAATGCATATTGCTCGTGGAACAGAGTGTAGTGAAGTTTTGAGTGTGTGCGTGTGCACACAAACAACATAATGATTTCCCAGAAATTTAACTTAGGACCTGTTCCTTGTTCCTTACTTATTCCGTATTCAAATCAAATGCTATTGTTTTCAGCATTAGCTTGGCATGAGAATGGAAGGCTTTACTAGCATCCTTATCAATTTAGCATAAGTTAACTATAGCTCTCTAGTGAGTTTACTATCATAAGAATAAAACCTTAAACCAAACATACATCCAGATAATATTTCAGAGGCAATACTGGATATGCAAAATCACAGACAAAGGAGATATGAGTAGGAAAGTTATGTTCTGGTTTCAGGATCACTCCAGTGACACTAGTTTTATTGTGCCCATGCTTGGTATCCCAGCTCTAATCAGGGCCGGCTCCAGGCACCAGCTTACCAAGCAGGTGCTTGGGGCGGCCACTTCGGAGAGGGGCGGCACGTCCAGCTGTTCAGCGGCAATTCGGTGGACGGTCCCTCACTCCTGCTCGGAGCGAAGGACCTCCCGCCGAATTGCCGCCGCAGATCGCGATCGCGGCTTTTTGTTTTTTGTTTTTTTTGTTTGGCTGCTTGGGGCGGCCAAAACCCTGGAGCCGGCCCTGGCTCTAATATCTTCTGTAGATCACATGCAACAGGCACGTGCTTATGTACGATCAATTGTAGATCTCTGAGTAATTAATGTAATTTTTGAATTTCCCTCAATTTAGCAATAATAATTGCTCGCTCTTATAAATGATGCTGTATATGCAGTCATAAAGAAGTGTGCTTTGCACTGAAGACAGCAAAAACTCAGATTTCTCCTCATCCTAAATAGTCTTCCAGTGTTCCAAATAAGGATGAGAACTCTCACCTACAGAGAGATACTTCTGAATCTCTTTGCTTCCTTAGGTTCTTCCTAGTCTATAGTAAAACCCATCTTTTACAGTGACTTTTTATGTTTAATAGGTCTTTCCCTGCTTTGCATGTAAATCTTACACTGCTGTTGAAATTAATTATAAGTAACGGTGTGTACTCTGTTCCATTGCTGTAAGATCTCACTCCCTCTGCGTGTGTGGATTTCCCATGCCTGTTATTCCCGTGTCTGTATCTCTAGTTCTGGTTAATTCAGAAGACACCTGGATGGAAATTCCAGACGTCCCATTCACCCTTAAAACTGAAGAATATCCTTTTAAAATATATAAAGCTTGTATTTGTAATCACTGCAGCGCTGCATATGATGCCGTCCTTGACAGAAATGTGGCTATTAAGAAGCTCAGCCGACCATTTCAGAATCAAACGCATGCCAAACGAGCTTACAGAGAGCTGGTCCTCATGAAGTGTGTGAACCATAAAAATGTAAGTTTTCTTGTGGGGACCAGGGGGATGTTGTGTGCTTGATTTGTTAGGGAAAAAATCACATCCTTTCAGGCTGTAATGAGATACTTTAACTTATGACTTCTGCTATTTTAAGGGCTAGATCTTGACCCAGACTACACACCTATGTATTGTAAGGCCCCTACATGGGCTACCCTAACTTTAGGTCCTGGCACATATGAGTAAGCATGACTACTCCCATGCTTGCTCCTTCCCCAGAGGAGGTGGGCAAAGAATGGATGGAGCTTTAGCTTCACCCTCTATTTGCTAGTATTGGCCAGCAGTAAATTACTATCCTTCCAGGAGCCTGGAGATAGCAGGAAAGGAATTGTGACTCAGGGGAATGTCTCTGAATCATGCTACCTTCAGGAGCTACTTCTATGGTGGTGCAGTGAAAGCACACCCCTTGCTCAGAGCTCTTCCTGAATTCACAATCTAGCCCCCTCTATTGGAGTATTTGGTTGTATTGTCATTATGAAGATTCTGTTTATTGATAATCCTGTAAAGAGCCTATGGAGCACAATGGGAATCTGTTATGCTTTTCCTCTGTCATGTAAGACGCTATTACTGATTACTTCATTGCCAACTGTTTGGATGGTTCATACTAATGCTGTGTAACCAGAATCTCTGAAACCACATGCTATTTTGTTTTATTTCTTCTTAATCTTAAGAAATGAACAATGACAGCAGATTTTTAGTCTTTCTTAATTCTCCTTACCTCCACCTGCCTTGTGTATAAACACTTTCTTTAGCGTTATACTGGAATGGCCATCATACAGGTTTACATTAGGGGTGCCCACATATGTATTCAATAATTGGAATGATATGTTTGATACAGTGTAGTGTGGCTTGTGGCTATGGGATACCCATGGGTACCCCATCACATTGTTCAAATGTTTCTCCGCTAGTTTCCTTTTTGTGCAAACTCGCCACTCCTGTTACTACCCTTATACCATAATTGGCCAAACCATGTTATGGAAGTCCCAATGAAATCAGAAAAGCAAACTGCATTTATCCTTTTATTTGTAGCATTGTATGTTGTCACTACCAGCTCTTAAGATCCAGCGCTAGTATTTTCCTATGTCTGTGGACTGATTTTAGCCCACTGGGGATGTTACAAATAATAATGATAATAGACAGTGCACATTAGTTTCCATTGAGAGTAAATTAATAACAGTTCCTTACCTGTAAACACTTTTCAAAGATCCTGAAAGGACTCTTCCTCTCCACACAAACTGAATGAATGAGCATGAGAAGCCTGATAGACTGTGAGATTTGACACACTATTTCTCAATCATTAGTTCACAGGGAGAGAAAGGAATTGGCTACATGTTTTTTCTTTCAATGAGAGAGAGCCCTGAAATCACAAAGAGTTTGGAATGAAAATCTGTGCAATTCAAAGACTTGCAAATAGTAATTTACCACCAGTCTCCTGTTACTACCTTATCGCTAGTGACTATTTGTTTGATCCTTTAATTTACAGATGAATAGTGTGCCTGGCAGACACTTCACAGAGCCCACCTAGAGTTATTTTGCTGTACTTTTCTTAACACTGAGTTATGCTTAAATTTTCAAAGAGTTGTGCAGGGCTCTAGCTGTCTCATTCCCATTGGCTTGGATGGAAACGGCATGATTTAGATCCCTGCACACTAGTTTGAAAATGCAGAGCTGGGTGAGTTGTGCTTGGCACATAACTAGAGGCTACATGGTGCATTATTACCCGTGATTCTTAATGTATTGGAAGGGGCAGAAGGCTACAAAGATGGGGTTGATTTGCAAAATAGACTATTACAAAAGTACTATACAGTAGAACCTCAAAGTTACAAACACCAGAGTTACGAACTGACCAGACAACCACACACCTCATTTGGAACTGGAAGTATGCAATTAGGCAGCAGTAGAAACCCCCCCTCCCTCCAAAAAAGCAAATACAGTACAGTACTGTGTTAAACGTAGACTATGGAAAAAAAGGGAAAATTTAAAAAAATGATTTGACAAGGTAAGGGAACTGTTTCTGTGCTTGTTTCATTTAAATTAAAAGCAGCAAAGTTTCAAAGCTGTAGTAAGTCAACATTAAGCTGTAATCTTTTGAAAGAACAACCATAACAACCATAACATTTTGTTCAGTTATGAACATTTCAGAGTTACGAATAACCTCCATTCCTGAGGTGTTCGTAACTCTGAGGTTCTACTGTATATGACGCAACAGTTGTAAACCTATTACCTGCTCTTAAGTTTTAGCTGTCTGTCGTTAAAGCTTTCAAAGGAACACTAGAAGAGAGATATCTCAAAAATATTGAGAAAAGGGGGAAGAAGCAAGGAAAGATGGTGGAGGAAAGATAAAAGTGCAGAGGCAAAGAGGCGGATAGAACAGTAAGAAAGAAAATTAAGGCTTTCTTTAAAAAATATAAGCCCAGATAGTCACATTTTCCCACTAAGAAAGCCTGCCAAGGGAGCCAAGTGCGGATAAAGACTCTGTAAGGTTCTTTTCATGGAGTTTCCTCAGAATTCTTCCTTCTCTTTTCCCCCAGACACGAAAAAGAAGGGAATTCAGGTCCCAAGTCCCACAACCTTCCCCCCCAGAGGTACTGTTGCTTTGTGCTGCACTACCAGCTCTCCAGCAGATTCCTGTCAGCAGCATTCCCTACTGGCCGTGTTCTCTTGAATCTCACTTTAAAAGACAGAGTAGTGTGCAGGACTCCTCTGGCCACTTTCCAGAGCTCTCTGAGGTTCTCCCATTTTGAGACGTATGTATGACAGCAAGACAGCTGGGAATTGGATTTTTTTTTATGAAAGAGCATCTGTGCCAAAAAATTTAAGAAATGTCCGAGAGAATGGAAAGTCCTGTGTTTGTGTTTAATAGGATGATGTTTGATTATTTCTCCCCTCAGACATATAGCCTTGATATACCAGAAATGGCCAGTGACTTTACAAGGACTGTCACATTTGTTTGAGTTGAGGCTGGAATTTGAACCTGCAACTCCAGAATTCACAAGACTAATGGCTTCAGCATTTTGACCAGTTGCTGTCCATCACCACTCCTCTCTCACACACCCTTTCAAATGCATCCTGAACAATAATGGAGTTCTGAAAAATTGTTCTGAAATTTGCCAGCTGCTTACTAGTCAACTGTAGCAGGACTTGTCGGTGCAAATTGAACAATGAAAAACAGATGCTATTATTTAATACAGCTGTCCTTCAAAATGTGATCAACTGCATATGTTTATCTTCTCTCTCCCTCCCTCTGTCTCACTCTGCTTTTCAGATTATCAGTTTATTAAATGTCTTCACACCACAGAAATCTCTGGAGGAATTCCAGGATGTGTAAGTAACACGGGCAATAATTAAACTAAAGCTTTAGGGGGAGGTGGGCCCTGGTATTGTATAGTGAACATAAAAATCCCAGTATAATGAAAAGGATGAGCTCCTCTAGCAAATTATCTTGTGAAGATGAAGCTTTAGATAGAATTTGAAAATGTAGACTGACCTATTTTACGTATGTATAAGGCACCTATCACCTTTGTATCTAAGATCTGGAATAGAACACGCGTGCAAAGCATGCTAATGGCTGTTCTTAAGACAGGTAGTGTGGAGGAATATGAGCATCTATGAGGAAGTGTACTTTGTTCCTTTGTGTTATTGGTTTGCTCAGGAAATGTTGTTGTATAACTCTCTGAGGTATGTGGGAGTGCTTTAAAATGTGGTGATTCACTTTGAAATAATATCCTTGTAAAAGAGACTGATGTGAAAGATTTTTTCCCTTTCATATTTATTGTCGGATAACCTTTGACTGTGTAAAATTTTTCTGCCTTGGGAAATAGTGGCGGAGTGTGAGCTCCACTGAACATTGTCTACACCATGGGCACTACTGCATTTAATGAACTTGCCCTGAATCAAATTTCAGGTAGTCGCAAGTGTTGCTGTTTTATGTCAGCTAAATGGCTTCTGCCTTTCAGTCTATAGCACCTTGTTCCATATTGCAGTATCACAAAAGGGAGGGGTTAATAGCATTGTTTGGAGTCAGGCAAGTACTGTCCATATGTCTGCATAAAGATCTGCATAAAGATCTGCTGCCCCATTGCAATAATCTTGTTATTTCAGTCCTCTGCAAAGAATTGGTGAGGTGAGCCTGAGTTGGGAAGCTCACATATAAATCTAGATCAAGAGTTTTCCCAAAGTTTGAGGGAGTTCGGATCCGGTGTCCCAGTTAAGGTTCATCTCTACTTAAGAATAAATGTCCCTTAAGAATTGAGCTGGTGGGTTAAATGTATTAACCAATCACTTCTGGAGGACTGAGTTAAAATCCGATTAAGACTGTTGCTCAATCTTATTTAGCAGAAGCACAGCGTACAGTCAGATTAGTTAATTGGCATTAAAACCATATGGGATCACCCAGTCTTATAAACACTTCAGACAAATGTATTGTGGTAATATATATTTACCCTTCCTACCTCCATCAGTCCAGTGATCTCTGGAAGAAACCCTCTGATCGAATTGCAATAGCCATTTCTCAGGAGAAAAGGCTCATAGCTTAGTGCATGTGGCATCAGCATGTTTGAGGATCCTGCTGCCTTGTGTGCCCATGTAGAGCACAGTCGCTGTGCTGTGGAATGTGCCAGGTAATCCCTGATATTCCAAGGATGTCAATGGGGCATTCTTGGAATGCTGCAATGGGAGACAAATCACAGAATGGTTCAAGTATTACTGAGCTTTGTGCTGGGGCTCAGGTGAATGGGCAGTTCAAAATCTTTTCTCCATCTGTGTTACCATCTCACAGTGGAAATAAAAAAAAAGGGATTGTGAATAGAGAGAAGTGAATGTTGATTATTGCACAGAAGTTACTGGAAGCTCCATGCCTGTGCAGGCAATAACTGTATGACTTTACTCTCCTATCTAGTTACCTGGTAATGGAATTGATGGATGCCAACTTGTGCCAGGTGATTCAGATGGAATTAGACCATGAACGAATGTCTTACCTGCTCTACCAAATGCTGTGTGGGATCAAGCACCTTCACTCTGCGGGAATCATTCACAGGGTAAGGGGACTGCACTTTGAAGGACAAGATACCGGTAGTTGTTGTTAAGAGGCTTGGTCATGTCAACATGCAAACTTTGTGATTCAACTCCTTCATCAAGACCCAGCCTTCTCAATGTAAATATTGAGACTTATCTGTCAATAGCCTACGTGTCTGGCAAGTTAGCTGCATGGTTGTATGTTAGGGATGAGGACGTTTGTCAAGTTAATAATCAAACAAAAAGGGAATGAGCCATAGGTAGTGTAAGACGCATAGTGATTATGATTATTGGAGAAGGTGGCGATAACTGCACTTTCTCCTGAAACTGTTGCTAGCTCTCTGAAGGCTGACAGTTTAAACTAATGTCACCTACAGTGCATTAAAATGCTATCAATTGATGGTGTCCAAACTGTGGTCCATGAATCGTTTGGTGGAGTTCCATGGAGAACTGTCTGGTCATATGTAATTGGTTCTCCTCGTTTTCATTTGCTTAAATGCATGAAAAGACTGCTAAACATATGCTAAGTACGTTCCCAACATTATTTTATCATGTAAGCAATTGCTGTAGTTGCCACAGGAGTGAATGAGAAGATAGGTGGTCCGTGCAATTGTTGATACTAGAGTAAATGGTCCATACAATTGTGAACAGGATGGGAGGTGGTCCAGCTGACCCTGAATGCATGGGAAAATGTCCATGAGACAAACTTTCTCTTAAGATGTGGTCCACACTATGAAAATAGCCTGGGAACCTCTGCTCAAAAAACAATAATTTTTTTGGCTTCTGAGGGGAAGGGAAGAAAGACTGATGAAATTATTTTCATGTTGGATGTTACTTTATAATATACAAAGACCTCTTTTCCTAAAACATACGTTGTGTAGAGCAAGGGTTCTCAAACTGGGGGTCGGGACCCCTCAGGGGGTCACGAGGCTATTACATGGGGGATCGCGAGCTGTCAGCCTCCACCCCAAACCCCACTTTACCTCCAGCATTTATAATGGTGTTAAATATATAAAAATGTGTTTTTAATTTATAAGGGGGGCCGCACTCAGAAGCTTGCTACGTGAAAGGGGTCACCAGTTAAAAAAAAGTTTAGAAGCACTGGTGTAGAGGATGTAGTATGTTTGGCTACTATAGTTCCCATAGTGTTCCAGGCAAAGAATGGGTCAGATTGTTTTTGTAAATAAAATATTCATATGAACCTGCATACACAGTTTGTGATGGTTCTAGTTATTGGAGCACAATGGGCACTGCCCCACTCAGAATAAAGTGTAAACAAAAAAATATTTCATCACCCTGATTCTATAAGCCTTTTAGAGCTATTAATTTAACAGCAGAATGCTTCCATCATCCAGAGGAAAGTATTCAAAGTTCCAAATGCCAGAAGGGACCATTGTGATCATCTACTGTGATCTCTTGTATAACACAGGTTATAGAACTCCCCAGAATAATTCCTTTTGAACTACAGCATATCTTTAAAAAGTCTTGATTTAAAAGTTATCACTGATGGAAAATCCACCATGAATTGTTTCAATGGTTAATTACCATCACTGTTAAAAATGTATGCCTTATTTCCAGTCAGAATTTGTCTAGCTTCAGCTTCCAGCCATTGGGTCTTATTATATCTCTGTCGGCTAGATTGAGGAGCCCATTATCAAATATTCGTTCCCCATGTAAGTACTTGAAGTACTGTGATCAAGTCATCCCTCAGTCTTCTCTTTGTTAAGCAAAATAGATGGAGATCCTTCAGTCTATCACTGAGAGAGGCATGTTTTCTAATCATTCAATCATTCCCTGACTTCTCTGAAATTTCTCCAATTTAGCAGTGTCCTTCTTGATGGAATCAAGCTGCTTGAAGGATCTGGACTATATCACTAGAGCACACGTTCCAATAGGGGGTCCCAAAGCAACAACAGGATTCAGAGACAGGCTAAAAAGTGCCTTCCGTGAATGACTGCACATGCAGCTATGGAGCAGTGAAGTGTTTAGAGGTCCACCCAAAGTATGGATCCAGATCGCCAGTGTGCACAGCCTTCGTAGATGGCAGTCATGTCTGTTTTCCTTTGTGTCTCTTGCAGGATTTAAAACCAAGTAATATTGTGGTAAAGTCCGATTGCACGTTGAAGATTCTGGACTTTGGACTGGCCAGGACTGCAGGCACCAGCTTCATGATGACTCCCTATGTGGTGACACGTTATTACAGAGCACCAGAGGTCATCTTGGGAATGGGCTACAAGGAGAACGGTAGGACTATACCTCAATAGCAAAGACTACGTGGCCAGCAGGGCCAGGGCTACTTTGACAATTTATGGGCACCAGGAGAGGGAAATAATGGCAGTAAAGAACACCTTAAATTTAAAAACCAAAGTGATGTTAGATCTGAATTTTCCCAGTATTGCAATCAAACTGCAATAACTGATGGTTCTTATCATGCAGTTTGCATTGAGTTTAACCACATGGTATTGCAGGTTAACAACCTGTGATTGACCAGCACTGCTTTGCCTGACTGAGCGGCTGAAGAAGCCCTTTTTGACTAAAGTGTGTACCTATAAAGGCTGCTGTGAGCCAGAAATATTATGGGAATTGTTAGGGTTGCCAAATGGATGAAATAATCTAAAGCCAGTTCTTCTGAATCTCAGACCTCTCTAGTGAGGAGGGAAGAAGAGATGGGACCAAACCAAATTTGGAATCCAAACATTCCCAAATGTTTCAAGATGCAGACCCAATTTAAATCTCAAGAATGGCTTCTGTATGTATAATAGGCTGAACTAACATCCCAGACTCTAACAACCTACTGTTAGGGTGTACATGATCTAGATCTGAATTGTGCAGCTTGAGCCCATCTTTAATGGAAAGAGAAGGGAGGAAGAGGAGGAAACTGAACTACTTTTCTGTTTCGTTTGTATGTAATCCTCCTAGCTGTAGATAGAGGGCTCTGCTGTGAAAAATCTACGGGTGGTGTATCTTTCTGTCCTTGGACAGGTTATGGGATGCAAGTAGAGCTACCATATTACAGAGGTGCCTATAAGAAAGAGTTCATTGTAGGAGGGATAAAGGGAAAGCTTTATCAAATACGTAGTTCTTGTTCTATAGCATAATTGAACATTATAACTGTCTAGGTGCTAGGTAGACCAGGCTGGAAAGAAGAGTAGGAAATATAGTGGAGAAAAGTCTATTATTATATTATTTTTGATGCCAAAGCAATCTCCCTGTTAGACGAAGAGACCTTTTCAATGACAAATGTAATGGGAAAGTAGCAGAAGCTCCACACTATTTTACGTTAAGTTGGAGAATCCAATTAACATGCAGTAGAATTTGAAGTAACACTGACAGCATTCTTCAGCTGACAATGACATTGTATGCTTGGTTTTTTAGACGGATTTCTTTACGCAAGCGATAATACAGGCATGCTCATAACACACCTGTAAGCTATTTCATTACATGAATTGCTGGTAATATTCATGGATTCACAATGCAGGTTTTAATACTGTAGTTAGTAATTAGGAAAAAATTAGCACAAGTGCTAAATATGTTGCACCTTGGCTTTCTCATAAACTGAGTGCCTCCAAAAATCTTAACTGGGATCAACACACATGTCATCATTCCCTAATCTAAATATTAGGTTATTTTTATTCTAAAACGAGTTGCTCAGCCTTTGTGTGGTTCTCTCACAAAACTGGATTGTTAATGGGTTTGTTGTGTTTGACACAGCAGAGAATTTTTCTCTGGTTTCATGCTGTTATAGTGGCACTTGGGTAAAGTTTGGGGCACTTTGGTTATCATGTGAAAGACCGATTTGCGGAGGCACTCAGAATGTGTGCAACCCTCAAAGCGCCCTGGAAGTTAATGGAGAGATTTCCATTAATGTCAATGGGCCATGGATCAAGCTGAAAGTGAGCAAGGAGCTTTTCTCTTTCAATTGAGCAAGATAAAATAGGCAAACATTTAAAAAATAAAATAAATTTGAAAACAATGAATAAAGGAAATACGGATCAGCAAATCTGAGGAGCTGATGTGTCTGAGGGACCTGATCCAGGTCTCACTGAAGTCAATGGGAAAGATTGTTCTCTGCACCGCTGCTCAGGCCTGTGCTGTTGTACTACATGAGCTCCCCCATTTTTTCCCTCCACACTTTGTATGCTGACTATGAAGATTGTTCGCTGCTTTCATTTTCTCTCTGCACCCGATTGGCTAACGATGCATAGTTAGCACCATTTTGCTGAACTTACCTTGGAAGGACCCAAAACTACCACAAAGAAGAAAACTCTAACCCCACCTCAGGCATGCTTTAGCTGTCCTGTGCACCCAATACCTCTACCCTCCTTTCCCAGATGAAACATTTCACCCTTATTTTGTTTTACCAACAGCAACAAAAAGTTTTGCTTTGTTTGTTTTTATTTTGTATTTTAAAGGACGAAAAGGGGAGAAGAAAAAGAGGAGAAATTGGTTGTACATTCCAAAAAATTATCACAAAACAAAGATTTGAAGTTGGGAAAATATGGCAGTTTCTTGAAAAATAGTTTTTTCTTCACCATTCAGAGTGCTGATCCTTTCTTTCTTTACACTCTGTACATCAAGTATCTGTCTTTTTTTCCCTCTCCTTGTACAATTTCAAGGAAGAAAAACCTGACCTAAACCAAACAGATGAGCAACAGTGCACATTGCATCCAGTATGTGAAGTCAGGATGGGAAGCATAGAAACCTTCCTAGAAGACATGCTGGTATTCACTCTATGCAGCATTCTGTATTTCAGTACCTATATAGTACACAGCATAGGCAGTGTATTCCAGACTTTGTGTTCTTTCCCCTACATAGAGCTGGATCTTGCAGCAGGAGTTTGCAATATTCAGTGACTGTAGGATGGTGTCCTGACCTTCAGTCCTTACTTATGTCCCAGTTAGGACAACTAGTGTGAGTGAGGGCTGCAGGTTCAGATTCAATCCTGCAGTAATAAACCCATAAACTGGCCCAAAAGCCAAGTAGGAGGTGATTCCAGATGATCACTATTTTTTTTTTAAGTAAGGATTTGGGTTTTTATTTTCGACCTTTGTGTTTGTCCCACCCACTAAGTGCAGTTTGTCCTTGCAGACCCAACACAGCTATACATCTCTATTTATTTTTACTTTCTGGCTAGTGTTGTGCCTTTTTACCCTGTGGGTTCTACACAATCTCAGGGGCAGGATGAGGGCAAAATGAGAGAGCTCCCCTTCAAGTTCATGCCTTCCTTTTTCACGTGTTTTAGAAAGCATAGCAATAAGCCCTCTGCTGAAACCCCCTGGATGGTTTTAACATAGATTAGACATGCTTTCAGCTGATCAGTTTCCAACACATGAAGCCTGCTTGTGAGTTCATTGGGTCTAGATGCATTTTTCATGTTGCCTGAATCAGAGAGAGACTGTATTGACAAACCTCTGTTGGTTTTCCTGTGAAAAAAGGTGCATATTTTTATTGAGGTTAGTTTAACAAAAACTCTGACAATGCTGATATTTCAAATATTTTTCCAATTTTACTGAGCCTGATGGTGCTTTTATCTATTTACTTATTTTAGCGTTTGGTGGGAGGAGAAAAAACTGTACTATTCTGATCAACCTGCTCTTTTTCCCCTCCTTTAGGAGTGAAGTGTCTTAGTTAACTTTGCTTTTTTTCCCCCCTTCTACACTTCCCTGTCTCTGCTGTTCTAGTGGATATATGGTCTGTGGGATGCATTATGGGAGAAATGGTTCGCCACAAAATCCTCTTTCCAGGAAGGGACTGTATCCTTGTGCCATTTGCTGCAGCTTCACCTATTTATTTATTCCTCTCCTTCATCCCATCCCCTCTTAAACATATAATAAATATACCAGGACTGTAAGGATAGAAGCAAAAAGTTGAATTTACGAGGTCTGAGTAATTTTGAGGGGGAATAACCCAATTCATGAAATGAACAAAAAATAAAGAAATCAAAATGGAAAAACAGATACAAGCTGAATTATTTCAATCCAATCTTTTTCTTTTATTATTATTTTAAAACCTTTAGTCCTCCTGTCTTATGTAAAAAGTGTGTATGTCATATTAAGAAAGAATACAGAAAACAAATGTTTAGCATTCCTTATTGATTACCCTTTTACACAAAAAACAAAACACCCTATCCTGACCCATCCGATCCTGTAAATCTGTTTTTCTGCTTTACTGTTTTGGAAATGGTAACTTCATGATGTTTGTGGTGACATCATAATCTTTTGCTCGCTAATGCATCATTGATATGGATTCATCTCAATGCTGTATGGGCTCAAAGTTGAGTCGATACAACATTTTTTTTCTAAATTTATTTGACTTGCCTACTTTAAAACAACCGTATATCTGGTGTACTCTCCAAATTTGCCTGAAATCAGATTCCTGTTAATTTGAAAATGGACTTTCCTTCACTTGCATGAGGTCTGTGTCCCTCTCTGTCTTGATCATCTAAGCTTGGATTATATTCTTTTTACCACCTCTGAGGTGGTGAAAGTAATATTAGAAAATGAAAACAAAAGAGGAGATGTGTACTTAGCTTTTGACTTGGCAAAGGCTAAGCCAGAGGACCTGCCTGGGATATATGAGATGTGTGGGAAATGTATTTGTGCCCATCAGAATAAAAATGCAATAACATAACACATGTTCTGTTTTCCAAAAAAGGGGATTAATTATGACAGGTTGGCAGAAGGACACCATAAAAATCTGGCATCAGAAGACATTGGCAATTAGTCTGGATCAAAAAAACTATTTTTAAAGACATGAGGTCATAGGCACTAATTATTTTTGCTGGCTCTCAAGTGATTCATGTAGTGTTGAACAAAGTTACATATGGATCTTGCAATTGGATTTATGTGGGAGGAGCCCCATCGAAGTCAATAACACATGGGTGTCCAAATGAATCCAGTTGCAGAACTGGGACTTAACAACAGTCACATATGATTTTCTCCCACGTGCATTCAATAGGGAATACTGCAGATATTATTATCTCCTATATGCTAAGGAGAAAATAGCAAAGATATTAATGGCTGCCACTGTATTTTCCTCGATTAATGTAGACTGGAATGTGAAAACCTGAGACACACAGAAAGAGACTTTGAATCACTGTTTAGAGTTATTTTAGTTAATTTTGGAGTCTCATCCTAAAAGGTGCTGAGTGCTTCCTGAGAAGTACTGGGTATCTTCCCCACTCAATGAAGTCAATGGAAGTTGAGGGTGTAGAGCACCTTCAAGGTGCAGCTAACAGTTTTCAAAATTGTGTCCTTAGATCATTGTGGCATTTCCAGTTTTATGATGGTATTAAGGAGTCACCGTCAATTTTTATCAATTTCTGTTGCTGTTTTCTCTGACTTTTCTTAAGGTATGATGCCTAATTCAACTATTTATCAAACCTAGGGGCCCAATCCAATGTCCATTGCATTCATTGGGAATGTTTCTGAAGTCAATGAACAAGAGATCAGATTCAGTATTTAGTTCATTAATCAACTGGAAAACAGTAAAAAATAATTGCAAAGGAACAATGTAATACGATGGTTGATTGCAGCTCTCTTTTTTCATCAACAAACAGGATGCTACAGTCGTGTCTTTCTGCCTATTTGTAACAATCCATTTAAAAAACAAATCCCAAACTTTTTTCAACATGACTCTTACTGTGGTGCGTTCATCTGGCCATGTCAAAGTCACTCTTATTAGTGTCTGATTGTTCTTTTTCAGTGGATAGCCAGAGAATATTAAAAAAAAATATCTTTCACCAGCCAAATGTTCATTAAAATCATCTGAAGATATGAGAAAAAAGATAGTTGATTGTTTGTTTGGATCTCCACCCAAAGCCGGAAGCAAACTGTGGGATAGACCTGCTGTTTTAAATCATTGGAAATCGCCCCCCCCCCCCAAGTTAATTTATTGTGACCCTTTTAAAGCCAGTATTAATCACTCTAATTTGTTTGGTGGTGCAGAAGGGAGTTTTTTGTCAGGTGACTTGTGGGAGGGGGAGAAAAAATGCAGTGTATAAATTCATTCCCAAGATATTTATTTGTTAATCGATTTGAACCAAAGAAGAAGAATAAGAATTTTCAGTGTCAAAAAGCTGGATTGTGCGTGTGTCTGAGATTCTTTTTTTTCCTGCTCTATTTGGTAACTGTTTGAATGGGCAGGTCCAGTCAACCTTCTCGATACAGTAAGTCCCTGAAAAACACTTATGCAGCAGCAGAAACCTCATTGAAAGCCTTCTTGACAAAACTTTTCTTGCAGAGCCTGAGGGCCTTTCTGATGACATTAAGTCCTCCAGCTGAAAGGGGTCTCTCTATATAGAAATATAAATCTTTATTTCTTTGTAATTGCTAAAGGGAATGGCTATTGTATTTGGTTTGCTGTAGGTCCATGAGGCTGTCTCATTTGTAGCTTGGAACAGGAACCCACAATTGTACTGGCACAATAAACACAGAAGATTGAGAGCTGCTGGCAAGTTTGAAGAAAAGGCAGGTTTAAATATCTCGGCATCCCAAAGCAGAATAACCATTGAATTGGGTCTATCAGTCTGTTAAAGCCTGCATGGAAATTAAAGAACATGGAGGACAGATTGTAGACTAATTGATGTTTATTATTAATGAGCTATTTGTAGGTGACTTTGCAAAAAATCCTAAATTCTATATAGATGTCAAGGTAATATTCTCATCTCAAGGGCTATGGGTATATGCACATGACTTCAGTTAGTGTTAATGCAAGTTATGCATCAAAATGAGAATACGAGTCCCAGATTTATTACCAAATGTAATAACCAAAACTAGGCGATTTCATGAGAAAGAAATCCAGCTTTTGACATATTTCCAGCCTAAGTTGCAGACCAAAATGTTTCAGAAAATGTGTCTAATCAAATCCTGAGGTTCAGTTTTTACTCAGTTCTTACTCCTAATTAAGTCAGTAGGAGTTTGCTTAAGTAAGGACTTAATTAAAAAAAAAAAAAAAAAAAAAAAAAGAGGAAGGACTTTAGGATATAGCCAAGTCTGAACTCTTGGAAGCTGCGAAAACTAGACAGAACCTTCGAAACCTCTTGTGGTTCCCAAACTCTGACTACAAAATCTCATAAGATTTCAGTACAATGATAGGAAATGCACTTTGTGCACTATGTAATGGAAGCAAAACATGAAACATTATGTGAACTCTGTTATTTTTAAATGAGAGATTGGCTTACAGAGATAAGACGGGCTGAAACCCAGACTGACATTACACAGACAGACACCCACACTCATTCCTTCAAGGATTCTTTGTTGAAATATTAATTCTCACTTGGGTTTTTTTTATTTTCCCCCAGTGTAGGGACATTTCTTTTCTACAGTAGGAAAGTGACACAGTTTATTTCTGGCATGAAAATCACTCTAGTTTGGAGGGGGGTACGTGTGTGTGAGAGAGAGATTCCTGAAGAAGGTTGAAGCTGAAATATTATTATAGTTATGAATTACTGTATTGAATTGCTCAGGACCATATTGTACCAGGCACTGTTTAAAAAAAAAAAAAAAAAGAGTGGTGGGAGAACAAGGTTCCAGCTTTGAAAAGCTTACAATCTAAGACAAGACTTAAGTGAGAAAAGAGGATGAAGATAGCAATAATAGGAACATGAGTTCAAACAGACTTATTGTATATAGCTATCAACCTAGAGAGCCAGATTTTCAAAAGTGACCAGCACTGACAACTGTGGTCAGATTTTTTAGAAGAGCTCAGCTCCCATTTAAGCATCTAAAATGAAGTAGCCAATTTTGCAAATTACTCAGGATCCAGCAGGTGCTACTGAGAATAATGAGTTAATAGATGGTGAAGTCTTTGAAAATCGGGCCTATGCAACATTTTTCTTTGATGAATTTATCTGTGTGGTTATGGATCGTAATTATATTTACTTCTACAGGAATATACAGTAGAACCTCAGAGTTACGAACACGTCGGGAATGGAGGTTGTTTGTAACTCTGAAATGTTCGTAACTCTGAACAAAACAATATGGTTGTCCTTTCAAAAATTTACAATTGATATTGACTTAATACAGTTTTGAAACTTTACTATGCAGAAGAAAAATGCTGTTTTCCCTTTTTTTAGTAGTTCACATTTAACACAGTCCTGTACTGTATTTTTTTTTTTTTTTTTTTTTTTTTTGTCCTTTGGTTTCTGCTGCTTCCTGATTGTGCTGTATGGTTGACTGGTCAGTTCGTAACTCTGGTGTTCGTAACTCTGAGGGGTTCTACTGTACACACAGAAAAGACCACATACATTATAGTGATCAGTGTGATCTAAAAAATACAGTGTGTTAGAAAAAGGAGTTGCCATCTATAGTTCTTGAAAGATGCAGTGAGAAGTTCTGTATTTAGATATTGAGCGAGACTTATGTAATTACAATTTGTTAGTGGGTGAGGTTAGTGTCGTGAATTACAGGTTCTGATAAGCTTTTGTGTAAGAAATTATCTGTTCTTACTTTTGATGCAATTTCATGTTCAAAATTTATTGCTGCTATATCTGTTCTTACCTTTGATGCAATTTCATGTTCAAAATTTATTGCTTCTGTTTCTATTTGTTCAGTGTAGTATTTTTCTTTTTTAAAGCCACCTTTTGTTTAAAAGATCAGTAGCCATGAGACTTTAGCAAGAGGAGAGACAGAGAGTTTCAAAATGGCTGGCATGCTTCTCAAACTTGATCATTTGGTGGGTGTTGACTTATTGTTTGGATTTTATCTATTTATTAGCGGAATTGGCTTGTGCATGCCCCAGAGCTTCCACTGGG